ATTAACTAGCATTTTGAAGCATCTTGTATTTTGTATAGCAGTGACATAAATATTGGGTTTTGCAGTGGAATAAATGTGAATTCTTTAAGAGATTTGGATGCAGCACGTTCCTCTTCCTATTTCTTAACAGCTATAAAGCATTTGCTCTGTAAAAAAAACATCTGTAAGCTTTTTTGACTCAGGGTTCCCCTTACTGTATAGGTCATGTTTCTGATAAAAAGCTCAAACACATTTTTCCTAGTCCATATGTACAGAAAAAATTATTTGGTGCCCTGAGAATTGGGAAGTACACGATACTTCTCTTTCTATCTCCTATCATTTCTAATTCCCTTTGTTATGTTCCTCAGACTTTCATATCATTTATAGAACATCCAGGATTTATCACCTTTCTAGAGCACCAGAGTCCAAGTTGAAATTACATACCATTTCCATGCACTTCAGACTCCCAGTCTCAGACACATGTGTCTCGCAGTTTTACCTCATTGCTACAGCACAATGCTTGAAGTGACACCTTTTAACTCTCTCTGAGATATGAACAGAAGAATCTACTCTCACCCCCAGGATCCCTACCAGTCACGGATTCCACCTGACTATGATTCTCTCCAAAGTAATTACAAAGCTCTAGTTTGTTAGATAACAAAGGCTGGACCAGATATCCTATTTGTTCTGTTGGCCTTTTTAAAACATCATATTACTTCCATATCTTAGAATAAGAGGAATTTAATACTTATTGTCTTCACTTAAAGACTATGCCTAAAAGTCTAGAACAGTACACAGATATTAGTGCTAGTAACTCTTACGATGGAGCTTTATACTAACTCAAATTAAATGGAGGAGTTGGGTCAGGAAGAAACAGCTCATTGAAAATGTTTTCAAGCTTACCAACATGCTTTAGTTAAATTGAGTGTTTTTATTATTTGACACTTGAACAAATTATGTCCTTTTAGTGACAAATAAACACAAAAAAGAATAATTGTACCAGGCCTGGCTCACTAAACTTGGGAATTCAGTAGCAGAAATTTGTTGGCCAAGACAGTCTGGGCAGTGTGCCATTTTTCAGGCTTCTGTCCTCTCATGGGTCTTCACTTTTAGATTTTAAAGAGATGAATGAGTAAGATTGAGTGTCAGCAAATACACTGCGAAACTCCTGCCCTTAACAATTGTTTGTGCTAAGTAAGCAGTCCTTATTGTTTTACCTTCTGCAAGGTGCTGGCACACAAAATGTACTAGATTATTCCTCTTAGCCAAGTATAAACTTCTGCAGTTTGTGGTTCTTTTTTCCTCTGGTTCCATCTGCATGTGGTACTTAGTCTTTAAGCTCATCTGCTATCAAAATAACTTACTCAAAGAAATGGAGCTTAATTTTCACACTGACTGAAGTATTTCAATATTTAGGAGAAAAAAAATAAAGAAATAAGTGTTAAAAGTAAAAGTACTTTACATGTCCAGGCAGCACTATTTAGTTCTTATAAATAAAAGATTGTTAAATTGTTTTGTTACAAAGTGATAACAAAGTGCATATTTGGCACACCCATTTATCCCATTCGATGAGATTTATCTGATTGTTGAACCTTCCACATACAGCTGTTCCCATAGCAGATAACTAATGAAGACCTTCATAATAAAAATGCTCAACAAGAAAAGAAATGAATGATAGAAAGTTCTCATGTCCACTCTTGGGTGTCACTGATATTTAAGGGAAGATATTTGTATAATTTTTAATGAATTTAAACTGTGGATTAAGTTTCTCAAGTGTATTTTTTAATTTAATATAAGTGTCTAACTTAAATATGATGTGCTTACTAAGTATTTACTACTGACTAGGAATCTTACAGTAAGGGAAACAGAGATTAATAATAATTTCCTCTTCATATCTTATTTTGTTAATGAAATACTGTATCCAGATTCCTAACTCATTTTTAATCATGAGCTTACACATCACTTCCTAAATGAAGCAAAAAATTGTTTTCTTTAATAAGAATTTATGAAGTACAGTATAGGATACATAGCTCCTTTAAGAATTTTTCAGTATAAAGTTAGATAAAATTTCTCTGACTTTATGCATGCATTCACAATTTAGATTTTTTTTAGTTCTAATTTTCAGCATTTATTTCATGTGAAGACTTTATTCCCTTTGAGTTACTTAGGCAAGCTAAGCTTTAAGTGTTTTTAATCCTGTGTGGCAATGTTGGGTCAATGTTTTAGAAATCAGAAACAAAGAATCAGTTCACCATGGAGAAGTTGTCCCATTGCCATATAATATTTTAACCTTTTTATTTTATATTGCATATTGTATTAAAATACTAATTGATGTTCATATGTGTTTATTTTCACTTAATTTTCTTCTGTTGTTTAAAGACATAGGAAAAAATTTCTTCATTATATTTTCTCTTGGTAACCATAATTAGGACTCAGTTTTCTGCTTTCATATTTTTGTTGTGATTGCCAAACTCTTTGATGACTTTCTAATTCCCCACATGTTTGCTGTTTCTACATAGCTACATAATTCTTAGGGCAGACTAGACTAGCTAAAGAAGAAATAAAATTAAAAAAAAAAAAAAAAACATTTGACCAGTATTTTGGAATAATTACACAAATCCTATTATGGTTTGGGAATTCCAAGCATCTAATTTCAAGGGGCAAAGTGGGCAGAGCATTCTAGAAGATACACAGGCCTAGACTCTAGTCAGGCTGTGCCTAGTGAAATGGTTAGAAATAGAATGCACCTTATGCCGTGACTGGTTAATAGAATTCCACAAGCTTGAATTGATAATCAGGGTGTTTTGCTGGCTGAAATCATCAAAGAATTTGTATAAATCAGTTTCTCTTATTGACTGCCAGGCCAGGCAATGAACCAACCTACCTCAAATTATATCTCCCATAATTACTTACTTCATACAGTCCTTTTTCTGCCCTTATAATCTCATAAATATAAAAGTTAGATTTTTAAACATAAATTTAAACCTAGATATATGTTTTAACATTGTGTTGTATTACATCCTATTTTGTTATATTTGATGTCTACAGGAATGCATTGAAAACTATACTGGCTTTGACTTTAGCCAGAGAAAGGACGAAATTTAAACAATGCCCACAAAGCAATTACTGTGTAGTGTGAATAGAAGGCTTCTCCAGCCACCTGTCACATGGTAGCCTTTTATCATTAGAGGACCATTTCTCTAGAGTGATTCTGTGTAGAGTACAACAACCGTTGCTATAATAGAATACTTTCATTATAACCATGAGCACTGTTACCTGAATTGTTATGTGATGTAAGTTTAATTAAATTTGTGAGTAAACATAAAAGGAAACTATGTTTGAGTTAGACTACAGGGTCATAAATCTTGGACAGAGTATTTTAATAGAAAAAGATTAAAGTTTGTCCCAAATAATGTTCCATCCTATTCTAATACTTTAAATACAAAAGTAATATGGAGATTAATTATCCAAAGGTAAATCTCTGAGTGTATCTTTTTTTAAATTGCTTTTTAAAAATGCATTTTTGTCTTTGCCATTAAAAACCCTTTTTAGACCATTCATTCAGTTGTAAACAAAGCTATTGGGCTTTATTCTAGAAACCAATAATGAGCAATGAATAAAACAGTCATCATCTCTGGTCTCATTATGGCTTAGAGTTTAGTAAATGCACATAATTAATGGAGAATTACATTGTGCTGTGGTACATTCTAAGACAAATACAAAGTCTGACAGGGATGAGTTGCCAGCATGTGAGTTGTAATTGAAGCAAAGGGTATGCAGAGGGTGAGAAGAAAGGAAAGCCTAGGTCCCTAGGGAAAAAAATTGAAGAAAAGAAAATGTGTGAGTCAGGTTAAAACAATGGGGAAGCTCCCCCACCCTGCACAAGCTAAATTCAAGCCTCCTTTTCTCTTGGCCCAGATGCCTTTCCCATTATTTTCATTTGAGCAATACTGTGTTCTAAGTTGGCATCACTGAAAAACAGTGATGTCTCCAATATCTTAAGATGTTGAGGCTTAAGAACCAATACTTACCTGTATATTGTTTACATATTTATTTGTATATAGTATAAAAACAATGACCACTTATAAAATTAATCACAGAATTTAGGAGGGAGAATTTCATTGTATCAGATGATCAGGCCCACACTTCTTATAATAAAATAATACTTTATTTGAACATATCTTAATTAATTCCCGATACATTACCTGACCAATTCTTTTCTTTTAAAATTATTCTTTAAAGGTGAACAGATCCTTGAAGAGAGACTTTGCAATCTGTTCAACATGCTATTTATACTTGAAAAGTGTTAAATTATCCTAATCATACTTAAAGTAACAATCAAGATTAATTGCAGCTATATTAGGATTGCTTATTATTTGTTCTACTTCAGCAGCAACACAAATCCAATTGTGCAGCTAATTTCCATAATCCAAATTGTGAAGTAAAGTAGGAGGAAAACAACCACGTAAAGCTGGTTGAAATAGTATTCAAAATAAATCCTTAACCAGATGGTTATCTAAAATTCTTTTTGAAAAGGAGCCGATTCTGAACAGATTGTATATGTGTCTCGCTGGTGGAAGTGGATTATCTCTTTTGAATTGGATTGTGATGACGATGACCCTATTCTAAGTAAACTAAATCTCTTGAACTATGTAATGAGATCAGGAACAACATTCAGCCTGAGAATAACAGATTGCAAAGACTGGAATAATTTTGCTGATGTTTTTTCCTGTCTCTTTGCTTGATATACATCGTACTGTTTTGTTTTGTTTTTCTTTTTTGATTTTTTTTTTCCTGCAGAGATCCATGGTTCTTTAGCTCTGGGTGCTAATTCTCTCTTTCTTCTTATTTTTTAAAATTTCTGTACGTGGGGCTGAATGAGTGGCAGGAAGCTGCGAAATCTGTCTTATAAAAAGGTGATTGTGGAGGAGCCTAGGATCTTTATTTACTCTGCAGCAGGATTGCAGAAAAACTACCAAGGGCAAACATTTAACAGATTTGTTCTAATTTCTTCTCTTTAGGCTGTGAGGAGGCAAAAGTTGCTTGAACAGAGTATTCAGTCTGCCCAAGAGATTGAAAAATCTTTACACTTAATTCAGGAATCCCTTGAATCCATTGACAAGCAGTTGGCAACTTATATTGCTGACAAAGTGGACGCAGCTCAGATGCCTCAAGAAGCACAGGCGAGTACAAACAGAGTACCCTTCTTTTGTTTTTCTTACCCAAACAGTGTGTTGCTGAGTTTGTAGCTTATAAAGTTTGTTTTCTGTTTGTACAATGGGTTGTTTTGAATAACTGACTTTACTCTTTGGAGGTAAGTAGGAGAGGATGTCTGGATTATTAATGTCAGATTTGAAGGGGCAAACAGGAACAGTGAAATATGGTGTTTATTGATGTTCTCTAATTATACCAAAGCTTGAGAGAAACTATAAGAATGTAAATGGTAAAGAAAATAGTTTGTGGTGCTATTAAAAAGCGTCTTAAATATTTTGTTATCAATTAGCACTTTTATCATAGAATTATAATTCATATGATCTCTGGTTCAACATTAAAGTATCACAAGTAATTGGCAAAAAATAAAGGAGACAAATTTGCACCTTATAACTTCTGATCGTGCTACACATACCCCACTTGGATACAAGCATATACTAACACATGGTCAATCCAAATTATGAAATGTATTTATACTTTATAGAAGAGTTCAAATTATAATGAAAACAAACCTATGTTGAAATTAAGGTGTATAAATTTAAATAATGTATAGATTTACATTTTCCATGGAAAATATTTTTAAACTGCTAGACTTCAAATTTTAAAAACAGTTAAATATATTTAAAGTATCACGAATATAATTTATTAGATAACGTTAGAATTGTGTGATAAGATAAAATAGCAACTTTTGTATCTTATTTACATATCATGAGTGCAATAACTGAATTTAAATAAATTCTACCTATGTGCAAGGATATGGGAGACATTAGAATGCAATCTAAAATGCCCAAAGGCACTCTCCCCATTAATTGGTGGAGATGCCTGATGATTTTCACTTTAAAATTAGTTTTAGGGTAAAATATTAGATTTGTAGATCATGGTAACAATGCAATTACAGTGCTTTGAATCACAGTTAAATTACTGCCTAGGGCATCTGTGTACAAAAGAGCAAGAGTTAATTTGCCATATTGTGCGCATTTGACCAAGAAAGTCCCTGCAAAATTGAGGAATGCTAGAGGTAGTTTTCACAGGCTCCGATTATGTATGAAGTAAACATCTTGGCAGTGCAGGATAAAGAAAGGGAAACTTGGAGAACTCGGATGAAAATTCCTCATCATAGTCTTCCCTGGGGTAGCAAGAGTAAATACGGTAATGGAAATGAAGAATTACAGCTAGCATAATGGAGAATTGAAGCTTTTCCTATATGCACAATAAAAAAAAAAAACATAAGTCTGCTCAAATTCTGTAGCATGGACTATTCATAAGAATTTCTCAATTTTGACTTATCAACAAAATTTTATAATCAGATCTTAATAAAATCCTTAATAGGGCTAAGAAATTGTTACTGAACTAAGAACTGCGTGACTAAAGTGTAGTAGTTCTACCTTTTTAAATTTAGTCGTATCTTCTTGTTCGAGACTTAAAGAATGCTAAATTTTCAAATCATAAATCTGTACTTTAAACACACAAAGAGTTCATGTTGAGGCTTGTAGGATGAAACTAAAAGTAGAAAAATAGAGACAGATTGAGTTTATTACTGGCTTAGAAGAAAAATGGAAAGTCTTGAAAAGGAAGCTTAGCATTCTGTGTTTTTTAAATTTATATATGAACACAGGAAGTAATGAACATAAGTATATGTTAGCTTTTTACGTATTTATAAAATTCTTAAATAAAATATATAATAAAATGTCTAATTAGAGCAGTTGAAAAATACTTGCAAATAACAGCACACAGGTAAATAAAGACATTTCAAATCTATATCAAGGAAGAGATTTTAGAGTACTAGCAAGCTCATATTCATTTTCTTTGTATTTCGGGTTGCACTTGTGTTTTCAAGTTACTGCATTATCTGACATGGAAACTCCCCAGTGCTAATTTATAATACTGGAAAATACAAGCCAATTGAAAGTTACTGAAACATTCTTTTTGTCCAAATATTTTAAGATTTTGGAAAATTAATAGTTTATTGGAACAGTTATCAGGTCCTCAATTTACTTCACAGGTTGCATTTCTTAAAGCTCATTTTGAACTCCAATAGAAAGAAGCAGACAGTAAAGAGGTTGTCTGTGAAATAAAGAAGTTAATCACTGTGTCAGATATAAGACCCACTTAGAATGCCTGTAAAATGCCGTTGTTCAAATGTGTTAGTGTGTAGATGTGTGTGTTCATGTCAATAGGGACAAATTTATTGCATTATATTAATAAAAACAAATGTGCTTTTTAAATGTGGATAGAAGTTTATTGCTAACTAAAAGGTTAATGGTTTTTGCTTTCCATTTTCATATTCTATACAGGTATGTTAATTTATCACTGAGAGCAGAACAAAATGAATGATATTACCATAGATAGTACTCATAAACATGTGCTTACATTTTTTTTGTCAAATATGGAACTCACAGATTTGTGGGTGTCTGACTCCACCGTGTGGTGTACTTATAGTTTTGCTGCTAAATTTAAAATCTAATAGAGTTGCCATTTTTTTCACTTGAAGAATATTTGAGATTCTCAGGTATAAAAAGTTCACAACATTGAGGAAATGCATACCATATGTTTAACGTGTGCTGAGCATACTCTTATTATCTTATTAAAAGTAGATGTAGATTAAGATACTCCTTTTCATTCATACTTGCATTTATAAGTATGTGCCAGAAAAGAGCTATATACTTCCCCATTGATTAGTCATCTGGCATAATTGGGAAATAGGGCTTTCTGATCCTAAATTCAAATGAAAAAGATTTCGCTTTTTTATTTAGTGAAATGAGTTTACACATGGCAAAGATAACAAAGCATAGGTTGACTTGTAAGTATTTTATTTCAAACAATGTCTCTTAAGCGAATAACAATCTCAAATGGAATGATCGTCAAATCAGAGACCTTGTCCCAGCTCACTTACAGAGAGATAGTTATTGAAAAACAAATTTAAAATGATACCTTGTGTATTCAAACAGAAAAAGAAAATGGGCATATACTTCTACATAGAGAAATACTTCTTATAGAAACCAGAAACTTAAGTATTTTTAAAATATGATTAAAATGTAAAATCATTTGAAGGTTTCCTTGTAATAATTTTAAAAATGAATACATCAACTAGATCGGTGGTACATGCCTATAATCTCAGCAGTTGGTAGGCTGAGGCAAGAGGATCACCATGAATTCTTAGCCAGCAGGGGCTGTACAGTGAGATCCCATCTCAATAACTACAAACAAACAACACCAAATTGTGTAACTGCAAAGAAACCCGTAGCATGAATTTTATCCCTAAATTCACCAGAGCAATATGCTGAAGTACAGAATTTAAATTTTAGCAAATAAGATTGAGTATCAAAAGAAAACCCCAAACCAAACAAGTACGAATTCTAATGGATTGCAACATCCCACACTTATAGTTACATCAAGATTCCAAAGGAGGGAGAGCACAGAGTAAGCTACTAGTGACTTTCTCTCACTAGTAGTTTAATTTGCTCTCACTCACATGAGAAATGTTTCAATATTGAAAATCTGATAAGTTCTTCATAAACTAATTCTGACATGCATGTTTGAGTTGATTTGGTTTTCATTTTGTATTTTTCTTTAATTTCACTTGTGTTAATTTTTCAATTAACTTTTATGTGTCTTTAAATCATTTGAGGAGCCACTAATAACTATGGTAAGCTGCTTTCATATCTGTAATTCTTAAAAATATACTTCCATACATTTTTCCTTTTCCTGTGATTTCTGGAATTTGTAGTTACTAATATAAAATAAAACAGAACATAGACAACTGTTAAAATTATCCATGTCATTATTTGTTTATGATGCTGGTTTGTAAAGAAGAATATGAGCCAATTACTTAGAAGCAGAAAACTGGCCAGAATCAATTGCCGTAGCTTTGCTGGTATATTTCTTTTTGTCCCACAGATGTATATTCCCATTTATAAGTGTAAATTGATGAAGAAAAAGAAATTGATTCAGAATTCAAACTCATTATTATCAAAAGAGAAAACTTCAAAATAAAAATTCTACCATGTTTCGCTCAGGAAGCTAGGACTTCTGAGGGTTTCAAAGTCTAATATAGACCTGATTGTATCTTCCATACCTTCTCTCTCCCATTCACAATGTGGTTAAAGTTAAATATTAACAAACAGGACAGAAAAAGCTTCCTTTTTACAAAAGGAAGTTATTAATTTAAACCAATCACATTAGCTGTACTTCAGTAGAATTTATAGTTGAAGTTTTCTTATATAAATTAAAGAAGATAAAAGTATAAATCACTTTAAATATATTTGGTAATATTCAGATATAAGCATCCTATACTATGAAAATAAAAGACTTAAGGAATAAGCACCTAAATGCAGATTTATTTCTGTCATATTGTTTCAATTTCGTCAGGGATAAAACAGACTTTTACAGTATTAACATGCACACCTGATGACTAAACAACTAGGAAAAGTTTAAGTTATAGCCTTCTTCACTGATTTATGAATTAGTGTAAACCAATATAGGGAATTATTTTAGCATATATTTGATGATTACATAATTTCACCAACAAAAAAGAAAATGACCCAGTCAGATATTTGAGTTCAAGAGTTAAACCCCATACTGTTATAGAAATATTAATGCTTTTTTTTCTCTTCCAAGTATATTATGGTAAAACCATTGCAGCTAATTTTAAAGCTATTTTTAACCCTGCATGCTCCCCTAATGTGTTACTATATATGAGTTATTGCTTACCAACTTGGAGTAATTTTATTTTATTTTGATATGCTTAATTGTATGGAAAACATTCATAAGCAACTTTTAGAATATACAAAAGGTTAGAAACCTGCATGTAGTTATGTGCTCACAGGAAGGAAATAATCAACAGAGAAATGTACATCTTTTCATATTATGAAATTATAATTACAGATATTTAGTCTGTAAGCATAATATGGTACTGCATAGCTCTTTGAATTGTATATATACGATACAGCTAACAGCAGCATCCTGTGATCAT